GACCCTCTCCCTACAGCCTTCACGGGGAGGGGAGCGTGTGACTTCCTTCTCTGAGCATCCAGTGCCCAAATCGAGGCGACAGGACAAACCTGCCTCTCTGAGCCTCCGTTTGCCCATCTGTAGAGTGGGGGCATTAATGACTGCCACCGTGGAAAAGTCTTCACTTTTTATGGAGTAACTTACTTCTGGTGACGACCCTAAGATGTGGGGGGCTCTTGTCCCCCCATCTCATCTGGGTTTTTACTGCTCCTGTTAAGGTGTGCAAAACTTTAGGTATTTCCATTCGCCACTTCATTAAACAGAGAGAGAGAGAGAAAGAACAAAACTTGTGTAGTTAGCCACACAGGCGGTCTCTCTCCCCGTAACACAGACACAGGTTTGTTTTACTATTACCTGCAAAACTCTCATTAAATGTCAGAGGAAAGGAGAGAAAGGCGGGGGGGTCATTTGCCCCTTCCACAGCTATCTCTGGAAACTTACGAAAATAACGCCTGTATAATTTCATTCTCTAAAATCAATACCCACTGAATGCCGCCATTGGTAAATTCCAGTAGGTTCTTAGTAACGCTCTTTCTCTCTTGTAGCAACTCTTCAGTACGCTGGCTGACCTTGAGACTTAAAAATTTACATTATTATTATTTTTTTTTTAACGTTTATTTATTATTTTGGGGACAGAGAGAGACAGAGCATGAACGGGGGAGGGGCAGAGAGAGAGGGAGACACAGAATCGGAAACAGGCTCCAGGCTCTGAGCCATCAGCCCAGAGCCCGACGCGGGGCTCGAACTCACGGACCGCGAGATCGTGACCTGGGTGAAGTCGGACGCTTAACCGACTGCGCCACCCAGGCGCCCCAAAAATTTACATTATAATAAGCGTTTGAATGTGGCTCTTCTCCCTCTCCCCCACCCCGCCTCCCCCCAAAAAAAGAAAAGGAAAAAGAAGAAACTGAGGCACAGGCAAGTTAAGCAACCTGCCTCAGGCCTCACAGCAGAGCTGGGGTATGAAACTCACGGTCCCCATGCCAGAACACAGGACCTTCATCACTGTGCCCTGCTGCCCCCTATGGTGATGAGTTCCTGCCTCCCGGGGCTGGGAAAGGGGGAGCAGAAAGGGGAACCCCACAAAAGTGGTATGGCAAGGCTTTTGAACGTTTGGCACCTGCTCAATAAAATTGTAGCCACTATGTTTATTGTTCTCTCCTTTCTCTATCGTCACCTTCCTGGGAACCTGGGATGGTATGGGGACAGGGTTGGGGCAGATGGAAAGTGGGAGTGTAGGCAGGGCTTCTTGAAGTTCACAGTGCAAGTCAGGGTGGGTCTGCCCGACTCCAGTGCCTGGATGTCCCCCTGGCGCCCATTCCCACGCCCCCAACTCTTTGGTCCTTCTGGAGAGATGGGTCCAGTGGGGCCGTCCGAGGCAGGCTGGGTCAGGCTCCTCAGTTATGGATGTAGCAGTGGCCAAATGGCTTCCCTCACTGCCCTGATGAATTCCCCAGACCCTGGGCCTGTGGCCGGGCCCGCCCAGGGCAGGGCAGCTGCCTTCCCGACATACTTTCCCTCTGGATTCACGAGGAGAGGCGGCTGGGTGAGCTGGGGGCGCCCGCATGTCTCCTGGCCCGGCAAACCCCCGCCGGGAAGGGCCCCGGGGCCCCATCACACAGGCACCAGCCCCTCTGCCCCAGCCTGGCCAGGCTCCCGGAACCACCGGGTCTGGTGTGATGGGAAGGGGAGCTGGCTGGGGCGCCAGCCAAAGAAAGGCTCGGGCCAGGAGGTCCTGGGCAGCAGAATCTTCACAGCTAATGAGGGGCCTGGGCCAGCATTTCTCGTCTGGATTCTGTGGCCAAGGGCAATGAGGGGGGGTGTGAAGGCCTCAGGGGTCCCGCCTTCCCCAGTTCTAATTCCTGCTGTGTGACCTCGAGCTGTCTCGTCTCTTTTCTACGGAAAATGTGAATAAGGACAATTTGAGGTATAAGTGACAGTGTGTAAGTTCCATAGTGTATGGCAAGGCTAATACCCTGTGCCCAGCCAACGTTTGAACCTAGACCGTGTGTCCCCCAAGTCTGTCCTAAAGTACAGTGGTGGCAGTTATAACTATTATTAATAGTAATGATGTTCCACTAATAAGGAATAAGAACATGATATGCTAATCCTAGTAGGTAACTTCACAGCTCACCAGCCCCTTCTCTCTCTGAACCGGGAGATCCCCAGGCTGTGAGAAACAGAACAAAACACCGTCAATCCCGGGGCGCCTGGGTGGCTCAGTTGGTTACGTGTCCAACTTCGGCTCAGGTCATGATCTCACGGTTCGGGAGTTCGAGCCCCACATTGGGCTCTGTGCTGACAGCTCAGAGCCTGCTTCAGATTCTGTGTCTCCCTGTCTCTCTGCTCCTCCCCAGCTTGGATTCTCTCTCTCTCTCTAAAAAAATAAACACTGAACACACACACACACACACACACACACACACAATCCCAGTTCCCAGAGTCAGGGCATCCCAACCTTCTCTGCCAAGAATAGTCTGCCAGGGGTCCCAGACGGCTGTCATACAGCCAGCCGCCAGCCCCTGAGCCCTGCCCAGGAAGAGCAGGGAGGGCTTCACGGAAGAGGGGGCATCAGAGCCCAGACTTGAAGGATGGAAGAAGGAGCCCAAGTGTCTTTTTTTTTTAATGTTTATTTATTTCTTTTTGAGAATGAGAGAGAGAGAGAGAGAGAGAGAGAGAGACTGAGCGTGAGTGGGGGAGGGGCAGAGAGAGGAGACACAGAATCCAAAGCAGGCTCCGGTCTCTGAGCTGTCAGCCCAGTGTCGGGTTCAAACTCGTGAACTGTGACATCATGACCTGAGCCAAAAGTCTGCCGCTCAACCGACTGAGCCGCCCAGGCGCCCCCGAAGGATGGAAGAAGGTATTTGGGGCCAGGGGGAACAGTAGGTACAAAGACTGGGAAGGACACGTAGAGAAAGTTATTCTGTAATGTGAGGCCGTGTGTGGTGTGCATGAGAGAAGGAGCCACTGCCGGACGGGGGATCTCAGGGTTGGTGAGATCCAGGAGGTAGGAGCACGAACCCAGACTGCTCGTCCCTGGGCCCCTGTTGTTTGATCTGCAGGCTGGGACATCCTCAGGACCTCTGCCTTTGCCGTTCCCCCTGCCCGGAATGCCCTTCCCCGCATTTGCCCGTGGCCTGGCCGTGAACAAGGCCACGTGTGTCCAAGTCTCAGCCCCGTGCCCAGCCTGTGGCAGGGGCCTGGCTTCCATGTGCTCTTGTCTCAGCTGCATGAGGCGCACGCAAGCCCACAGGCCCCGCCGGAGTTTGTGGTTTTCCCAAGAATTCCAGTGCCGGCCGGGAGCGGCCCCCAGGTGTGCTGGACGCCAAGGAAAACAGGAGGTGAGCTCATGGCCCGGCCGCAGGCAGCAGGCAAGGTGGGCACTGTCAGGGCACAGGCTTCACTAGAAATGCCCAGGTTGGGGCTGACTGTTCCCACCCAGCCTCCCCACCAGGCCCGCTCCTCCTCCCTCACCCTCTGTGGCTCCCTATTGCCCTTGAAGACAGCCTGAGCTCCACACCACTGGCACTGCATCTCCTGAGCCCCAACATCTCTCCACCCTGAGATCATTCCTGGTAACGGACCAGACTCCTCTCTGTCTCGGAATCTTCACATATTCTGTTCTACCTGGAATGCCTACCATCATTTTTTTTTTTTTTTTTGGCCTGGCCATGTTCTCCTCACCTTCCTGGTCCCAGTTTAGCATTCCCTCCTCCTCTGAGAAGCCTACCCAGATTCCCCCCCACACCGGGCTGGGTCCAGCACCTTGTTGGAGCTCCCACTGCTCTCTGTGTATCCCCATCACAGCTCTGGCCCCTTTGGGTGATTATGCAAGTGGCCTCCCCACCAACGTGGGTTCCCTTAGAGGAAGGGGCCAACTCTGGCTTGTTTGTCCTGTGTCAAGAGTCCAGCGCAGGACGTGACACACGGTAGGTGTTCACTGTGTGTTTGTGGAGTAAGTAGATGTGTCTGAAACTCCCCCCTCCCCAAGCCACACGTGCTTCACTATGTCAGAACTGTCTTCACTTCGCTCTGCTGATCTGAGTCCTTCTTTTCCTTTAGGCTTCCCTTCCACCTCCTCCGGGAAGCCCTTAGTGACTTCTCTGGAACCTCTCTGATTTCACCCTTGCCCCTTGCGGTGGCCTTGGGCTAGCCACTTCCCCTCTCTGGGCTTCAGTGTTCTGATCCATACGACAGAGGCTTTGAGCACTTGGAAAGCGGGTGGAGAGGGTTAACTCCAGAAAGTCAAAGTGTTTTGTAGCTCAGGAGCGAGGCTGAGCTGGGAGGGACGATTTTCCTGATTAGAAGTAATTTTTATTTTTATTACAGGCTGTTCCCACAGCAGCTGGAGCGGAGCTCGGAAGGTATGGCGAAGTCTCCGCAAACAGAAGTCCTGGCCACCCCCCTCAGACCTCCTCCAGCTGGAGCCCTTTAATTTGCGCACTCCTCTGCTGGGGATGGAAACAGGCACAGAGAGATGTCATTTGCCTCATTTTGAAGCAAGTGAAGAGGGAGTGGAGGGCCAGTCGGCCTGACTGAAAGCAGAGTCGGGGGTGGGGGTCCTAACTTTTAGCGTCTCTTGACTGGTTCCCCAGGTGTGAGCTGAGGGGAGCCGCTGTACAGATTGCTTCGTACTCAGTTAGGTCCCAATCTTGGCATACAGCAGGCACTCAATAGAGAAGTGAGAGAGAGGGCTGGAGGGTGGTCCCACTGGACTCCCTGCCCTATCGACCCCTACCCCGGCTCCCCGTGACTCAGTTTCCCCGCCGTGTCCGGGTTCAGCAATACCGGGCGGGGCCTCGAACGCAGAGGCCAGCGCCATCTGTTTACCTTGCGGCTGGACGCTGGGCAGGGCCGCGGGTGGGCCGTCCCCGGAGCCGACTGAGCCGCCGGGATAAATACGCCCCGCGGGCCTCGTGGGCAGCAGAGAGCGAGCTGCAGTCCAGCTCCCCGCCGCCGCCATGGTTCCTGCCGCCGCCTGCGTTCTCCTGCTCACCCTGGCAGCCCTCCGTGCGTCGGGCCAAGGCCAGATACAGATAGGTAAGCCGCCCCGTCCCCCACGCGTGGCCTCGACCCCCAACCGTACCGGAGGACCCGTGAGGCCTGGGGTCGCGGCTTCTTGGGGGCTCAGGGACTGCTCATCGGGGCATGCAGGTCGGAGAAACCAGGCAGCAGGGCGGACGCTCAAGGAATGAGGGAGTCCCAGGGCCCTGCCGCGGTAAGGACTGGTGTGGCGGGGGTCCCCAAACCCCGACGCCCCACCAGCGCCCCCTGTCGGCGCAGGTGCAGATCTGGGCCCGCAGATGCTTCGGGAACTTCAGGAAACCAACGCGGCTCTGCAGGATGTGCGGGAGCTGTTGCGGCAGCAGGTGCGG